CATGACTCGACCCCATTCTTTGTCCTGGTCTACGTCGACGACCTGGTGTTCGCCACTCCCGACCGACGCGCGCTGGCCTCCGTGAAGGAGGAACTGCAGAGGAGACACACTTGCACTGACCTTGGTGAGCTGCAGCACTACCTTGGCCTGCAGATCACCAGGGACAGGGCAGCTCGCACCATTACGGTGACCCAATCGCATATGGTCGAGCAGATCCTCACGCGGTTTCGCTTCCCGTTCTCCAAGGTACAGCTCACGCCCCTTTCTGTGGATCATGGGCTCACGGCTCCACCTTCGGACGAGTCATTTGACTTCAGTGGTCCATATCCTGTGCTGGTGGGTTGTCTCATATACCTGATGACCTGTACTCGCCTAGACCTAGCTTTCCCTCTTATCGTCCTTGCGCGCTTTGTTGCACCTGGGAGACACCGACCGTCCCACTGGTACACTGCTAAGAGGGTGGCGAAGTATGTGGCGAGTACATCAGGCATGGGACTTGAGGGAAGCAGCCAGTTACACTTACAGGTTACTCGGACTCGTCGTGGGCCGACGACGCGGAGACGCGTCAGACTACACAGGGGTACTCCTTTAGCCTCGGGACAGGTGCTGTTTCGTGGCGGTCGACTCGGGAGTCGTCCGTCGCCGGTTCCAGCTGTGAGGCAGAGGTGTACGCTGCTGCCATGGCCGCTCAGGAGCTTCGCTGGTTGTCTTTCCTTCTCACCGACCTTGGTGAGCAACCTCGCTCTCCCCCATTCTTGTTCGCCGACAACAGGTCTGCCGTCCTGTTGTGTGAGGAGCCCCGACTGGTTGGGAAGGCGAATCACATCCAGCTTCGTTACTTCCTTCTGCGTGAGTTGCAGCAGCGTGGCCAGGCACTCGTTCGACGTGTGGTCTCTGAGGCCAACACGGCAGATATCTTCACCAAGGCATTGCCGCCTTGTGACCACCAGCGTTTCTGCACCCAGCTTGGCCTTGTGCCTGCCCGTCCTCACTTGCTTAAGTAGAGATGCCTTGTCCTGCTTGTCTTGTACTCTTGCATCACTTGATATTTGCTATATACCTGCATGTGGACTGGCCTTGTGGCCTCTTGCTTGCTCTCAGAGAGTGTGGTGACTTTGAGCTCCACCTTGAGATTTGTCTTGTTCTTGTGGACTGGTCATGTGACCCTTGATTGCTCTCAGACTGTGTGGTGTCCTTGAGATCCACCCTGAGCTATGTGTTGCTTTCCACAGGACTACCATCACCTAGACTATGGGGGTGTGTCAAGCTATATTTGTTATAGGATATATTTGTTAGTCTAGGTGTACATTCTTGACCTTGGGTTAGGTTAGGGTTCACCGGATATATCTTGCTGTATGTTTCATTTCATAGTTAACATTTTACATTGTGATAACCCCTTCTTTTTTTGCCCAACTCTCGCTCTCACGCTCACGCTACTCTCGACACCCGTTTGGCCTAGGCTACTAAGCTCAGGCCCTTTTACACCCGTATCCTAGCTAAGTCCGTATCGTGACAGTCCTCACGCGGTTTCGCTTCCCGTTCTCCAAGGTACAACTCACCCCTCTTGGTGTGAACCATGGGCTCACAGCTCCACCTTCGGACGAGTCATTTGAGTCCAGTGGTCCATATCCTGAGTTGGTGGGTTGTCTCATGTACCTGGCGACTTGTACTCGCCCAGACTTGGCTTCCCCTCTCAGCGTCCTTGCGCGCTTCGTTGCGCCTAGGAGACACCGACCTTCTCACTGGTTGGCTGCTAGGAGGGTGGCGAAGTATGTGGCGAGCACATCAGGCATGGAACTTGTCCTTGGAGGGAAGCAGCAAGTTACTCTCACAGATTTCTCAGACTCGTCGTACGCAGGCTGTGGTCAGACGTACAGGTCTTCACAGGGCTATTGCTTCAGCCTCGGGACCGGAGCTGTTTCGTGGCGGTCGACTCGGGCGCCGTCTGTCGCTAGCTCCATCTGTGAGGCGGAGGTGTACGCTGTGGCCAAGGCCGCCCAGGAGCTTCGTTGGCTGTCTTTCCTCCTCACCGACCTTGGTGAGCGGCCTCGCTCTCCCCCAGTCTTGTTCGCCGACAACAGGTCTACTGTCCTGTTGTGCGAGGAGCCCCAACTGGTTGGGAAAGTGAAGCACATCCAGCTTCGTTACTTCCTTCTGCGTGAGTTGCAGCAGCGTGGCCAGGCCCGCGTCGTTTGTGTGGTCTCTTAGGCCAACACTGCGGATATCTTCACCAAGGCGTTGCCGCCTTGTGACCACCAGTGTTTCTGCACCCAGCTGGGCCTTGTGCATGCCAGTCCTCACTTGCTTATGTAGAGATGCTTTGTCTTGCTTGTCCTGTACTCTAGCATCTCTTGATATTTGTTATATACCTGCATGTGGACTGGCCTTGTGGCCCCTTGCTTTCTCTCGGACTGTGTGGTGACTTTGAGCTCCACCCTAAGATTTGCCTTGTTCTTGTTGACTGGTCTTGTGACCCTTGCTTGTTCTTGCTTTCCACAGGACTACCGTCACCTAGACTATGGGGGTGTGTCAAACTATGATTTCTATAGTTTGTATGTTTAGTTTAGGTGTGTTACATTTGTTCTAGGTTTAAGTTAGCCTTGACAATAAATTTCTTGTTTTGATCATTCTTAGTCAGTTCATTACCCGTTTAGTAATTTAACAGCTCGCCCATCCTATGGTGGGTCAGCTGCTCCTCCAGCTGCCCGATGTACAAGTCGTCCGTCGCCTGGTACGTCGACAAGATGAACCACCACGCTTGGTGGCCTGCGTTCAGTCGAAGTCGACACGGCTTCTGCGCAATCTCGAGATGACCATGAAGGTCAGCAGGTGAGCCGCGCGGAATTCCGCCCGCAGATCGACGTCGTCCTTGTCCGGCGTCGGTACGTCGCCGTCGGCGAACCCCTTTAGCCCGGCGATCTCCATTTGGGGCTCGATCTACTCCCTCCACGTGATGAGGTCCCGTCGACCTTGCAGCGGCGTAGGCACGGCGATCTTGTCCGACGAGAACTTGAAGTAGCCATACCCCGGAGCGATCCCTCCCGCAATCACATGCGTCGTCAACGTGGGCCTCCCACTGCTTCGCTGAGGGGAGCGCGTCGACGTCGACAAGCGAGCTGCCTGCGGCCGCCGTCAACCGCTGCACTTGCACCCCGCCGACGCCATTGTTGGCAGCCCTGATCACGATCACTCCTCTCACCCTCGTGCTCTCGTCGCTGCCGACTTGTTCACCACCGTCGACTTGCTCGTCGACACCATCTTCGTTTCGCACCGGTCGAGGAGAAGCAGTTCGGGAAGGGTGTTTCGTCGCCCACTGCGCACGGATGCCCAGGAGGAGCACCTCCAAGGGTAGAACCGTCCCGAACTCGCCACCTGTGCGGCGTCTCCTCGCATCAGCTAACCGTGCCTCCAACGTATCCTCTACACCGCCGGCTTCACCGGGGTTAGGCGTCATGGTCTGCACGGGCTGCCGGCCTACGAACGACTTAGGTAAGTGATAAGTCGGCTCCTAACCTGAAGGTATCTTGCAGGGCCGTCCACGCTCAACGCACCATGCGGAGATTCACTCTACAACGGTGGGAGCTAGACTACGGGGTTGGCATGGGTTGTGACTGTATCGTAGCTTTGCCTGCGTTCTCTAGCAAAGTTGGGATTACATAATGATAGCAAGAGCAATGGCAAGAATGACTACATCAGAGCCTAGCAACCTAGCAGACAGGCAGGTCGACCGCCAGTGCAGCAAGGTCAACAATCTGCCAGCGTTGCATAGAGGCACCGTGCTCGCGTTGCAGTAGAGCGACCTGCCAACAGAGCAAGTCGGCGGCTTGCCAACGCTGCACCAGGGCGACTTGTCAATGCTGCGACAGAGCGATTTGCCAGCGTTGCAACCGCAGGTGATAGTAGCGCAGGTGCGCACCCACTTTGCAGGTGCGCAGCGACGGTCAAGGACGTTATGCACCATCGCGCAGGTGCCAAGTCGGCCACGTGCCGACGACTGCGTCTGAAGAGCCACGTCGACCACGTGCTGCCACGTTGGTCGACTTCGCCACAGCAGCCTTGACGACGTTCGTGCACCTCCGCAGAACCTCGTTGAGCATGTTACTTGGTCGACGGGGAAACCACCAAGTCCGCGTCGACTTACGCGGCAGGAGCCCGTCAACAGCCGTACGTGCGCGTCGACCACACAAGTCGACGCCTCCTGTCGACTTCACAAAGTCGACGCCCCCGTTGGTCGACGAACACCTTCGTCGACCACCCAGCAGAAGTTGGTAACCACCTTGGTCGACGAACCCCTTCATCGACCAGCCAGGTCGGCCTCTGTCGTCGAACTCCCACCGTCGACGGCTCTGCGATAGTCCCGCATAGGTCGACGACTACCTTCGTCGATCTCCCCTGTCGAAGAAGACCGCCGGCTCCCATCGACGGCTGCGTCGCAGCGGTCCCTCGCAGGTCGACCAACTTTGTCGACTTGCATGCCAAGGCTGGCTTTCGACCTCTGCACATGGTTGGCTGCACTTCCTGTACACCCGGCCACGAAGTCGGCTTCGCCCAAGCGAGGGGGGGGGCAACACCCAATTCCCGTCAACAGGGGCGACTCGGAATGTGGTTCGGGCCGAAGTGTAGGCTGAACCCAAATTGACGCGAAGTGCTCGTTATGTCCTCCCTAGATGCAGACTCAGAAATGAATTTCCATAGAATGCCATTCTTTCAGATTGTTATAGAGTGTTATTATTTTGATCACCCAGATTTCTATCAAAGTTGATGATGTCAGCAGAATCGAGGATATCTTCATTTCCAGCAGCTGATGAAGCACACGCAGGAGACTCCGTCTCTCCTCGCGTCCACTAAGTGGTCAAAAGACCACTACACTTCATTGAGGTCTTTCGCGGCTGGAGGTGGCCGATTTCCAGTAGTTATCGTTGCACGCCAGACTCTCACAAGATTCTTGGTTGATCGTTTTGATTCTCGGTTGACTCGCGGAGAGCTCGGCTCCGCTTGCGATGGAGGACGAACGGACGCGCACCGCCGGGGCGGAGGAAGGGGAGGCGCACGTAGACATAGATGCGGGCACAGGGGCTGCGGGTAGCGGGGCCGGGGGTTCGCGGAAGCGGAAGCAGGCGCAAGGCGCGCGGAAGAAGGGAGGAGGGGAGAAGGTTCCCGCGCTGGTGAAGCGGGGTGGGCGCGCAGCGGTTGTGGTGGGCGGCGGAGCAATGGCGGCGGCCGCGGCGGGTTCCTCGCTGCTAGAGTACCAGGTGCCGCCCGTTTTCCCGCCTCCAGCGGGCGGACGCCGCCTTTTCCTCGCCCCTCTCCCATAGTATCTCCCACCTATTGCTCCCGCGCGTCTGCCGATCCCGCGCCCGACATGTCAAAGATTAGAGGCCCCGGTTCCTCTCCTATAGATTGTAGCGTGCCCCACTTTCAGCAGCCAGCCCTCGAAATGGCGCGCTCCAGCCGTCGATGCTTTTCTCCGCTCAGCCTGCGACGATGCGCATTCGCCACTCCGTCGTCCTCTTTGAAGTCGATATATATATATATATATATATATATATATATATATATATATATATATATATATATTTTTTCATTCGCCACTCCGCCCTCTGCACCCCTCGTGAATCGTCGCCTCGTCAAGCCTAAATAGTCGCCCACTCAACCGCCACTAGTCGCCTACTGAACCCGAAATAGTCCTCGTTTCAACCCTGAATTCCAATCGCCGCCTTTGCAGCCCCCAGTAAAACCACGCAAGCCCTTGCCTCGCTGAATTGGTTTGACTGTCCTCAACTTGCTCGATTGTCGATAAACCCTGGTCTCCCCTCCTTCCCCCTCCTAAAACCCTGAACCGTGGGTTAAACCCTGACAAGGGGCACTTTCACCGCTTCGACTCGCTTTGTGTCGTAAAATCTTGGCGAAGCAGGCTGCCGTACAGGCAGATGTGGTGGTGCTGAACAGGGCCTCACACGCACAGCCTCTGTCCGTGTGCCTGTGTGTGTGCCTGTGTGTGTGCCACTTACCCATTAGCGGCTGCTGCTGCTCCCCCTCCTGCTCCTCCTCCTGGCAGGTACAAGCGGTGCTGAGGGACGCGCATGTGGGCCGCGCAGCTGCCAGGCAGAGAGGGAAGGGCGACGGAACACCAGTTAAATGCCATTGCCTCGTTATGTGCCTGCACAACTCTGTTAACACCTGGAACCCTGGTGCCCCTCCCCCCCCTCCTCCTCCTGCTCCCCCTCCTGGCAGGTCCAAGCGGTCGTGAAGGACGCCCACGTGGACCTCGCAGCTGCGAGGCAGAGGGGGAAGGGCGTGGTGGCGGCTGTGGATGGCGCGGTGGAGAAACTAAGAGAAGCACTTAGAGCCATGCCGGAGGGAGAGCAGGTGAGCGACGGTGGGAGCGCGTGTGAGGGATGCGCTCTTTTCTCCGTGGCTCGTTGCATGGGGGTTTGGTGACGGCTGTAAGTGGCACAGTGGGGGAAGGAAACAATTCTTGTAAACCCTTTTGATAAGTTTGTCGAATGCTGCTTGAAGCAGGGGATGGTGGGCTGAGGAGTGGAGATGGGGCAGTGTTAGGCACTGTTGGCGGATAAAGATTCTTTCAAGTACAGTTTGGCTGGGAAGCATGAGGGGAGGGTGTCACGAATCGCGTGAGCGGTTTCGCTCCAGGTGCATGGGGGTTCGGGGTTTGGTGAGGAGCCCAGCACAGCGGTTCATGCTGCAGGGGTTTCTGGGTTTGGGTTGGGGCAAGGGCCGCACGTGGGGGTAGGCAGAGCAGGCTGGAGACAGGGGTTGATGGTGGGGGGAGGTGGACACGAGAAGCGTAGCAGTGCTCGTGTTAATGTTCATTCATGGTGACGCTGCTCATGGCGATGCTCCTGGTGTTGCTCCCTTCCCTCACCTCCCCCCCCTCACTCCCTTTTCTTCCCTCACCTTGCCTCCCTCACTCCCTTGCGCTCCCTCACTCCTTCCGCCTCCTCCTCCCTTCTGTTTCCTGTAACATGTTTCTCTCCCCCTTCCTCACATCGTTCCACATCTCCCCACACCGCCCCACACCGCCCTGCTTCACTGCACGTGACAGCAGATGCGGCTCTGCCGTACGCGGAGGCGCTGGCAGGGTTGGAGGGCGTGTGCTAGAGTCTCGCAGGGCCCAGAGACGGGTTAAAGAGCCCCTGCACCCACCCGTTTCTCCCCCTTACCCACCCACACTGCCCCACACCGCCCCACACCTCTCCACACTGCCCCACACTGCCCCACACCGGCCACACCCTATACTAAACATGAAAGAAACGAACCAACAAAACTACCAATTAGCAAGATTCCCAGGTTTTTGTGCGTAGGCATACTCCTCATTGATTCGTCCAGTCATCTGGTCATTGCAAATCTGAATCCAATTTATAGCCAGTCACAGCCCTGCCCCACACCCGCCCCACTTGGCCTCGCATCACTCACTGCAGGTGGCAACAGGCGCGGCTTTGCCGTACGTGGAGGCGCTGCTGGGGACGGAGGGAGGGGCGCCCAGAGGCGTGTTAAACACCCTGCACCCACCCATTTCTTCCCCACACCGCCCCACACCACCCCAAACCGCCCCCCATCACTGCAGGTGACAGCAGACGCGGCTCTGCCGTACGTGCAGGCGCTGGTGGGGGCGGAGGGAGTGAGGAGCCTCGCCTTCACCTTCCACCGCCCCTCGCACGTGCATGTCATCGGCAGCTTCGCCCACCACTCCGCCTCCCACCCTGCATCGCATGCGCATGCGGGCGGTGATGGGGGTGATGGGGGTGATGGGGGAGAGGGCGGAGAGGGCGGGGCAGCAGGTGTGGGGAGTGTGACAAGGCCGTGCACACATGTGGACGTGGCTGTCGAGATGCCTCAGGTGCGGTGCTGTGGGGTCTGGTGCGGTGCAAATGGACTTGGTGGTGGTGATTGCAATTCTGAGATATCTCAAACCTACTCGTATCATACCCCTTCCAGCCGCAATCGATACATCGTAACCGCACACTTTTCCAGATAATAATGTGAACCTTTCGCATGCTCTGCCACAAGAGTTTTTTACTTCTTCGTCTTCTTCGTTCTTGTTCTAGTGAACAAATCTGGTGCAGTGCTTAAGAGCCCCTTCTGCCTTAAGCCCCTCTGCCCTGCCCCTGTGACATCAGCTCTGTTATGTTCCTTCGGCAGGCGTGTGTCCTTCTGAGTCGACTCAAAAGACCAGCGTGTGCTGAGCCACCGCTGCCACCATTGAGCTGCATCCTCTCACACTCTCCTCTTTGCTCGCCCCATCCGCCCCTCCTCTGTGTGACAGGCGTGCTTCTAAGAAAAGGACATGCTGAACCACCGCCACTTCACCCGTCAGGTCGCATGCACTGTGCTGCTTCCTCTCCTCTCCCTCTCCCATCCTCCCACCCACTTACCTCCCTCTCCCTCTTGTCTGCAGGCGTGTTTCCGGGAAAAGGATGTGTTGAACCACCGCTACTTTGCCAGGCGGGCGCTGTACCTCGCCACGCTGGCACGCCACCTGGCGGCATGTGATTGGGTGGTGGCGGTGGAGTGGAGCACTCTGAGGGATGACGTGTGCAAGCCCGTCCTCCTTGTCATTCCCCGTGAGCAACCTCATTCCCGTGCCTTGCTGTGCCCTGCCATAGCGCTCCATGACGTGCCCTGCTTTAATGTCATACCATGCCATGCCATGTGCAAATCCATCGTCCTTGTCATCCCCTGTGAGCAAGTGGACCTCGTGCTTAGCCATAGCGTGTTCGGGCTTGATAAGTTACCAGGCCATGCAATGTTACACCACACCTTGCGGTGTGCTCCATACCATTAAGCACCGCCTCATTCTGTGCCTTCTGCCACGAGGTACCCCCCACCTTAAACGACCTCTCTGCTCCATCTTCCCACCTCCACTCATCTTCTTCTCCCTCAATCCCCTCCCCCAAACACCCTCCCCTCCCCTCATCCTCCCCACAGGGGCGTGCAAGAGCTGGCCTCTGCGCCTGCTGCCCTGCCTGTCCCCCGCCACCTTCCCCGCCCGCAAGCTTGCCCCCTCGCGCAACAACGTGCGGCAAGCCTCCTCCTCAGGTGGGCTCATCATGGTGCCTTTCTCCCGTGCTGCAAGCTCGCACCTGCACAGGTGGGTGGGTGTGGGTGCACCAGGCAGGCAGTGGGTGCAAAAGGAAGCGCTGCGAGCGCGAGGCAGATGTGATAGGCTCGTGCGTTGCACCCTGCTCCCACACAGGCTGCGGGCACACAGGCGTGCGTGCGGCTATTGACTCGATCCCCATGCTGTGAGAGAACACTCCGCCCTGACGGGTGCCACGCCCTCACGCCTTTGAAAGCACTCAGCAAGCAGTCATGATGCCCTCAGCTGCTCTCAGCTGCTCCCAGCTGCACTCAACTAGGCGCTGTGCTGCAGGGTGGATGGTCTGTGGGAGTGACATGACAGTCTGGTCTCATGGGGTTAGCAGCAGTGGTGAGAGATCTTGATCTGGAGTGATTCAGTACTGCTCACATGTCATCATTTCATGCCTGCATATGCATGCATGTGCACATGTTCACCTCACAACCCCATGCACCCCGCTTCCCTCCCTCCCCACCCCGCACGCGGCAACACCGCGGTACAACATGGGCATGCTGGGGGATGGCGCCCACACGGCCGGCCCCAACCCCATACGCCCCTTCCCTCCTGCCCCGCCACACATTGAATGACAGGAGGCGAGCTACTAGCAACGCCGTGCTACAACATGGGTGTGCTGGAGGATGGCGCTCACACGGCCGCCCATCACCTCGTCTCGCATGCCATGGGCCTCGTGCCCGCCCTGCCCCATGCTCTTGTGCTGCTCAAGGTGATTGATTGGATTCTAAATGGATTGCCTTTGTAGGGCTCGCGCCTGCCCTTCCTCCCACCCCCTCGTGGAGGATGCTTATGCATAGCACAGGCCACGCTGGTGTGCATGCATACCCCTCTCATGTGGAATGGCATGGCCGCACATCACCTCGTGTTGCATGCCATGGGGCTCGTGCCTGCCCTGCCTCATGCACTCGTGCTGCTCGACGCGACGAGACTGACTGTGACGAGGCGAAGTTGTTCAATCAATGTCTAGAATGGATGGTGTGCACATACAGGACATGGAGGGTTTGGAATGGAAGTGGGCTGTAGAGACCAGTTGATGCATTCATGGGATTGTCTTTCATGCCTGCTCCACTCTCACCCATGAAAGACATGACAATACGACCCACATGTCATGCTTCTTCCCACACTGTCCTGTCCCCCATCCATGCTGCCACGCTGTCACCCCACTGGTTTCTTGGATCCCAGCTCATTCATGCTTTCATCCCTCGCTGTGCATGCATGCATGCCACCTGCCATGTTATCAGTGCAGCAAAGCCAATCCAATTTACCATGCTCCATGCATGTGTGATGTGCTCCCTGCAATCATTTATGCATGTGTGATGATACAGCCTGTCATGCCACCATAACAGCGTTTGTCTCCTCACATGCCCTCCCTCCCTGCTCTCATTCTGTCCACCCCCCCGCCACCTGTCATGTCACGTCTCGCATGCCCATCACCCCTCAGGTCTGGGCTCGCCAGCGGTACAGCACCAAGCGCCACGTGGCGTCTGCTGATTGGCTGAACGGCTTCCAGCTGTCCCTGTTGGCAGCACACCTGGCGTCGCCCCACAACCCCCACCGCCGCGTCATGCCCGCCATGTCAGCATTTCAGATCTTCCGATGTGTCATCGATGCCATGGGTATGCGGCATGGATGCCATGGGTATGCGGCATGGATGCCATGGGTATGTGGCATGGTGCTATGGGCAAATGCATTGATCACATGTGTCTTGTGCTTTTGCCGTGCCCATGTGCCACGTCATGCCGGCCATGTCAGCATTCCAGATCTTCACTTCACCACACCCGACCCCCCCACCACGCTACCCTCGCCCTCCCCCATCGTGGGCACCAACCACCACCGCTCTCTTCCACCGCCCCACCTGCCTCCGCTTCCTCCATCCATCCGTGCCCCTTCCGTGCATCCTCTCTGTCTCTGCTCCCTCCTCGCCCTGCGCATGAGTGGGCAGGCAACTCGGATCTCCTCCAGCAGCCCCTCTTCCTCCTCGCCCCTGATGGCTCTCCCAACGCGCTCCAGGCCAATGTTCAGGTGCCCTCCCCTTTCCCCTCCCTACCTCTCGCTTTCTTCCTCTCGTCCTTTCCACCCTCTCTTCCTTTCCTCCCTCCAGCTTATTTGCCCCGTAGAAGGTCCAACTTATTTGCCCCGTAGAAGGTCCAGCTTATAAGCTGGAGGGAAGGGGAGGAGCTGACCAAGATGCAGCTCCGTAGACGGTCCCGCTTCCGCTCTCCTTCGCCATCACCACTCCCTCGTTCATCACCCTTCGTTCCATCCCTAGAAAGGCTTAACAAGATAATGAACGCTGCGTGATCACCCTCTCTCTCTGCCTCTTATGCCATCACCGCCTCCAGACGCGCGTGACTGAGAACGTTTGATTTGACTGCGTGTTGTCTCACACTCTCAGCACGTCCCTCCCCCTGTATACCCCCCCTCTCCTCTCATAACTGCCCCCCATCACCCCCACCAGGCGCGCAGGGACATGCAGAGGGCGTTCGACTGGCTGCTCTGCGACCCCTCGTAACCCCTTCACGTCTCTCCTGCCCCCTTGTACCGCCCTCCCCTCCCCACCCCTCTCCGCCTCCCCCCCATCACCCCCACCAGGCGCGCAGGGACATGCAGAGGGCGTTCGACTGGCTGCTCTGCGACCCCTCAGGCACTGTCAACTTCGCCTCGCGAGTCTCCAAGTCCGCCCTCCACCAGGTGCGCCCTTCTTTCCCAGGTGCGCCCTCCACCAGGTGCGCCTTGCTTGGGGGTACACACCCACGTTGCAGTGATGAAAGTCAGACTGCATGCGCACCCAGTGAAGTGAAGCATGAAGCACACACCGGTAGGTCAGCTCAGGATCACGTACAGTGTGATCAAGTCGGGGGGAGCGCCCGTGACAAGTTGTTTATCAACGTGCAGTGTCCGTGCCTTGAGTCGCGCCCCACATCCTCCTCACCCTCTGGTATCCATGTCCCCAATTCAATTCCTTCCCGTCACTCGCAGATCCGCCTGGACGCACAGCACATGTGCAGTGTGATCAAGTCGGGGGGAGGGGGGGGTGTGCATGGCGAGTATTCCACAGGTCCACCCTCCCTCATTCACCCCTTGCCTCTCTTGCATCCTTTCGCCCCCATCAGATTCGTGTGGACGCGCAGCACACGTACAGTGTGATCAAGTCGGGGGGAGCACCCGTAGCATGCCTGCCAGGGCAGGCAGTGCTGCTCGCCTTCATGCAGCCCTCCAGCTTGGCCGACCGATTTGATTTGATTGCCACGTGAGATCTTATTCGCAGATGGAATTTCTTATGTGCGTGCGGGGCATATTCTTATGCGCATGATACAGAGGCTGGTGCTGCTCGGCAGACCTATTTGTCCTCGTTTTGATGTGAGATCGTCTCGGCACAAAATCATTGCGAGAATACTTTTGAGTCGACTCAAAAGTCGACTTAAGAGTCGACTAAAAAAGCAAACAGAATTAAGAGAGTCCCACCTCGAGTTATCTGAGGAGACCAATTTGGCTTCATCCCAAAAAGGCGGATCTTATGTGCAGTGGGGTGAAGTGCATGACTGATAGCTGGTGTTTTGATTGTGGAGAGGGAGGGAAGCTTACCTCAACCGTCACTCCTCCCTCACGTCCTCGTTTTCCTTCTACTCCAACACTCCTCTCACCCGCATAAAAAATGAGTTTCTCCCTTCATGCATGGAATGCCATACGTCTCACCCTTCCCTCTTCTCCCCTTCGCCTGCCCTGCCCTCCCCATCCCATCCCACTACATCCATTCCACCCCAGGGTGCACGACGCCCCGGTGTATTTTGAGGCGCCTCAAAATACACCTCACTGCACTACATCCATTCCACCCCAGGGTGCACGACGCCCCGGGTGACCCCGCCCCCCGCCCAAGGCAGCACTGCTGCTGGATGAGCCGCCCCTGCCCTACGTCTCACCTCACCCTTCCTCCCTTCCCTTCCCTGCCCTTACTTCCCCATCCCACCCCATCGCACCCCACCCCATCCCACGACACGTTCCCTCCCTGCGCCCCACCGGCACAGGGAGGGAACGGGGGGGGGGGTGGTGTGGTGGCCAGCCCCTCTTCTTCCCTTCCCTCCCCTTCCCCTACCCTGCCCTACCCTCGTCAATCCATCCCATCCCATCCCATCCCATCCCATCCCATCCCATCCCATCCCATCCCATCCCATCCCATCCCATCCCATCCCATCCCATCCCATCCCATCCCATCCCACCCCATCCCATCCTAGTGTACACGACACCCTGCCCGCCACGCCCAAGGCAGCGCTGCTGCTGGATGAGCCGCCCCACCGGCGCAGGGAGGGGGCAGCGGCAGGTGTGGTGGCGAGGGGCATGGGGGAGAGGGCCACGGCTGTGTGGGTGCACCCCAGGGAGGTGCCTTCTGGCTGGCGCCTGGAGCAGGTGCGTGTGGTGCTGAGTGAGAAACAGGGTGAACTGGTTCCTTACTGAAAGCCTTTTAGAATCAATCGTTTTTATGAAATCTGGGGTTTATTTAAACTTCACACTACCTCTACTTCACTCGCCTCTACCCACTCCCCATGTTGTGTCACCACAGGTGCACAGCCCCTCACAGGGCATGGCACGGTTTGCCTCTGTCCCAATCCCCATTGCATTGCACTCTTGAGATGCCACTCTGCCACTGTCGCCCCTCTCCACCATCCTACACGGCATGCCATGCCACCACTCGGTGCTGTGTGCTTGGCACATAATAGGTTGTGCCGAGTGCACATGTGCATGGCAGAGCCTGCTGTGCTAATCGGAGTGTTGCTTTGAGACGACTGCTGTGTTCACATTGTTGTGTCAAAGTTTCAGCCTTTTCCCTCTTTGTGCCCCCCACCTTCTCCCCTTCCACCACAGGGCCTGCCAGCACTGGACAGCGCGCCTGCGGGAATCAGAGTGTAGCTTTGGGGAGCATACTGTGTAACTGTGCTGTGCTCAAGTGTTGCCCTCATCTCCTCTCACCTTACCGTCTGCTCTCATTGCACCCCCATCTTCTCCCCTTCCCCCACACAGGGCCTGCCAGTGGTGGGCGGCGCGCCGGTGCTGATCGGGGTATCGCTGGCGTCACCTGACACGGCTCTGCGCCTCGTGGACAAGGGGCCCAGCGCGGACAACAAGGCGGAGGTGAGTGCAGTGCTAGCAGCAAGGCGGACATGGAGATTGATGACCGTATCCCCTTCAGCCTCTCATCACCCGCACTGCGCCTCGTGGACAAGGGGCCCAGCGCCGACAACAAGGCAGAGGTGGGTGCCATGCAGGCAGAGGTGGGTGCCATGCAGGCAGAGGTGGGTGCCATGCAGGCAGGGGTGGGTGCCATGCAGGCAGGGGTGGGTGCCATGCAGGCAGGGGTGGGTGCCATGCAGGCAGGGGTGGGTGCCATGCAGGCAGGGGTGGTTGGCTGGGCCTGCACCTGGTGGGCACATGTGGTGGAGGTGGGGCCTGCACCTGGTGGGCACATGTGGTGCGGCGGGTATGATTTCTTGAACTGGCCTGAAATTGCGTTCTACAAATGCCCCCTCGGCTTCCTCATCCTCACCCATGTCTGTAACCTCTGCTTTCCCCTTTTCTTCCCAAGCACCCAGGAAATTAATAAGTTCTCACTAAAGCTCTAAGTCCCGCAAATGGCACTAATTGACACAAGTGATTAAGTGACTTCTATATGAATCTTGACTTTAGAGTCGGCTCTGAATCTTTGAGAAGACATATTCGGCTGTCTTGTTGAATGTTTACAGCCAATGCACCAGCAGGTGTGCCTGGGCTGCCGCTGCTCCCACCGAGCCTTTGTGCTGCGCCAATGTTAGGTAGAGTACAGCCAACACGTTCCAATGTCAGCCTTGAAACGGATCAGAGTGGGGTTTTGCGTCTGTGGTTGGCACGAATTGCTAAAAGCTGCACATTCCTCCTCGTTCGAGGCTGACATTGGAACACATTGGCTGTACTCGAACCAACATTGGCGCAGCAGAAGGGCTCGGTGGGAGCAGCAGCTGCCCAGGCACACCTGCTGATGCATTGGCTGTACGCACACAACAAGACAACCAAAATCAGTTTTTGTATAGACTCAAAAGCCAAGATTCATTTAGAAATCACGTAGTGACACTAATGCGCCTAAGTTCCCACAATCGCGGCACCCAAGTCCCCACAATTCCTCCACTCCCAATCCCCCCTTCTCCCCTCCCGCTCCCGCCGCCTACCCTCTCACCCCTCCCCCCTCTCCCTTTCCCTTCCCACCCCCTCGCCCCCCTCTTTCAGGCGCTCAAGTTCCGTGCTTTCTGGGGTCCCAAGGCAGAGCTGAGGCGCTGGAAGGACGGCACCATCACCGAGGCTGTGGGTGCGTGTGTGCTGTGCGGTGGAGAGGGGGGTGGGGGAGTTTAGGGAGGCTGAGGGGGGTGTAGCGAGGTGGGGGGGGGTGCAGTGAGGATGGCTACCATGTCTCATCTCATGTTGTGCCTTCATGGCTCCCTTGACACGGCACCACACTCAGCACCATCTCACACGGCAGCACACTCAGCACCATCTCACACGGCAGCACACTCAGCACCATCTCACACGGCACCACACTCAGCACCATCTCACACGGCAGCACACTCAGCACCATCTCACACGGCAGCACACTCAGCACCATCTCACACGGCAGCACACTCAGCACCATCTCACACGGCACCACACTCAGCACCATCTCACACGGCAGCACACTCAGCACCACACTCACACGGCAGCACACTCAGCACCATCTCACACGGCAGCACACTCAGCACCATCTCACACGGCACCACACTCAGCACCATCTCACACGGCAGCACACTCAGCACCACACTCACACGGCAGCACACTCAGCACCATCTCACACGGCAGCACACTCAGCACCATCTCACACGGCACCACACTCAGCACCATCTCACACGGCACCACACTCAGCACCATCTCACACGGCAGCACACTCAGCACCATCTCACACGGCACCACACTCAGCACCATCTCACACGGCAGCACACTTAGCACCATCTCACACGGCAGCACACTCAGCACCATCTCACACGGCACCACACTCAGCACCATCTCACACGGCACCACACTCAGCACCATCTCACACGGCAGCACACTCAGCACCATCTCACACGGCAGCACACTCAGCACCATCTCACACGGCAGCACACTCAGCACCATCTCACACGGCAGCACACTCAGCACCATCTCACACGGCAGCACACTCAGCACCACACTCACACGGCAGCACACTCAGCACCATCTCACACGGCAGCACACTCAGCACCAACTCACACGGCACCACACTCAGCACCATCTCACACGGCACCACACTCAGCACCATCTCACACGGCAGCACACTCAGCACCATCTCACACGGCAGCACACGCAGCACCATCTCACACAGCAGCACACTCAGCACCATCTCACACGGCACCACACTCAGCACCATCTCACACGGCACCACACTCAGCACCATCTCACACGGCAGCACACTCAGCACCATCTCACACGGCAGCACACTCAGCACCATCTCACACGGCACCACACTCAGCACCATCTCACACGGCAGCACACTCAGCACCATCTCACACGGCAGCACACTCAGCACCATCTCACACGGCAGCACACTCAGCACCATCTCACACGGCACCACACTCAGCACCATCTCACACGGCAGCACACTCAGCACCACACTCACACGGCAGCACACTCAGCACCATCTCACACGGCAGCACACTCAGCACCATCTCACACGGCACCACACTCAGCACCATCTCACACGGCAGCACACTCAGCACCACACTCACACGGCAGCACACTCAGCACCATCTCACACGGCAGCACACTCAGCACCATCTCACACGGCACCACACTCAGCACCATCTCACACGGCACCACACTCAGCACCATCTCACACGGCAGCACACTCAGCACCATCTCACACGGCACCACACTCAGCACCATCTCACACGGCAGCACACTTAGCACCATCTCACACGGCAGCACACTCAGCACCATCTCACACGGCACCACACTCAGCACCATCTCACACGGCACCACACTCAGCACCATCTCACACGGCAGCACACTCAGCACCATCTCACACGGCACCACACTCAGCACCATCTCACACGGCAGCACACTCAGCACCATCTCACACGGCAGCACACTCAGCACCATCTCACACGGCAGCACACTCAGCACCACACTCACACGGCAGCACACTCAGCACCATCTCACACGGCAGCACACTCAGCACCAACTCACACGGCACCACACTCAGCACCATCTCACACGGCACCACACTCAGCACCATCTCACACGGCAGCACACTCAGCACCATCTCACACGGCAGCACACGCAGCACCATCTCACACAGCAGCACACTCAGCACCATCTCACACGGCACCACACTCAGCACCATCTCACACGGCACCACACTCAGCACCATCTCACACGGCAGCACACTCAGCACCATCTCACACGGCAGCACACTCAGCACCATCTCACACGGCAGCACACTCAGCACCATCTCACACGGCAGCACACTCAGCACCATCTCACACGGCAGCACACTCAGCACCATCTCACACGGCACCACACTCAGCACCATCTCACACGGCAGCACACTCAGCACCATCTCACACGGCAGCACACTCAGCACCATCTCACACGGCAGCACACTCAGCACCATCTCACACGGCACCACACTCAGCACCATCTCACACGGCACCACACTCAGCACCATCTCACACGGCACCACACTCAGCACCATCTCACACGGCAGCACACTCAGCACCATCTCACACGGCACCACACTCAGCACCATCTCACACGGCAGCACACTCAGCACCATCTCACACGGCACCACACTCAGCACCATCTCACACGGCAGCACACTCAGCACCATCTCACACGGCAGCACACTCAGCACCATCTCACACGGCACCACACTCAGCACCATCTCACACGGCACCACACTCAGCACCATCTCACACGGCACCACACTCAGCACCATCTCACACGGCAGCACACTCAGCACCATCTCACACGGCAGCACACTCAGCACCATCTCACACGGCAGCACACTCAGCACCATCTCACACGGCAGCACACTCAGCACCATCTCACACGGCAGCACACTCAGCACCATCTCACACGGCAGCACACTCAGCACCATCTCACACGGCACCACACTCAGCACCATCTCACACGGCAGCACACTCAGCACCATCTCACACGGCACCACACTCAGCACCATCTCACACGGCAGCACACTCAGCACCACACTCACACGGCACCACACTCAGCACCATCTCACACGGCAGCACACTCACACGGCAGCACACTCAGCACCATCTCACACGGCAGCACACTCAGCACCATCTCACACGGCAGCACACTCAGCACCATCTCACACGGCAGCACACTCAGCACCATCTCACACGGCAGCACACTCAGCACCACACTCACACGGCAGCACACTCAGCACCATCTCACACGGCAGCACACTCAGCACCATCTCACACGGCACCACACTCAGCACCATCTCACACGGCACCACACTCAGCACCATCTCACACGGCAGCACACTCAGCACCATCTCACACGGCAGCACACTCAGCACCATCTCACACGGCAGCACACTCAGCACCACACTCACACGGCAGCACACTCAGCACCATCTCACACGGCAGCACACTCAGCACCATCTCACACGGCACCACACTCAGCACCATCTCACACGGCACCACACTCAGCACCATCTCACACGGCAGCACACTCAGCACCATCTCACACGGCACCACACTCAGCACCATCTCACACGGCACCACACTCAGCACCATCTCACACGGCAGCACACTCAGCACCATCTCACACGGCAGCACACTCAGCACCATCTCACACGGCAGCACACTCAGCACCATCTCACACGGCAGCACACTCAGCACCATCTCACACGGCAGCACACTCAGCACCACACTCACACGGCAGCACACTCAGCACCATCTCACACGGCAGCACACTCAGCACCATCTCACACGGCACCACACTCAGCACCATCTCACACGGCACCACACTCAGCACCATCTCACACGGCAGCACACTCAGCACCATCTCACACGGCAGCACACGCAGCACCATCTCACACGGCAGCACACTCAGCACCATCTCACACGGCACCACACTCAGCACCATCTCACACGGCACCACACTCAGCACCATCTCACACGGCAGCACACTCAGCACCATCTCACACGGCAGCACACTCAGCACCATCTCACACGGCAGCACACTCAGCACCATCTCACACGGCAGCACACTCAGCACCATCTCACACGGCAGCACACTCAGCACCATCTCACACGGCACCACACTCAGCACCATCTCACACGGCAGCACACTCAGCACCATCTCACACGGCAGCACACTCAGCACCATCTCACACGGCAGCACACTCAGCACCACACTCACACGGCAGCACACTCAGCACCATCTCACACGGCAGCACACTCAGCACCATCTCACACGGCACCACACTCAGCACCATCTCACACGGCACCACACTCAGCACCATCTCACACGGCAGCACACTCAGCACCATCTCACACGGCAGCACACTCAGCACCATCTCACACGGCAGCACACTCAGCACCACACTCACACGGCAGCACACTCAGCACCATCTCACACGGCAGCACACTCAGCACCATCTCACACGGCACCACACTCAGCACCATCTCACACGGCACCACACTCAGCACCATCTCACACGGCAGCACACTCAGCACCATCTCACACGGCACCACACTCAGCACCATCTCACACGGCACCACACTCAGCACCATCTCACACGGCAGCACACTCAGCACCATCTCACACGGCAGCACACTCAGCACCATCTCACACGGCAGCACACTCAGCACCATCTCACACGGCAGCACACTCAGCACCATCTCACACGGCACCACACTCAGCACCATCTCACACGGCACCACACTCAGCACCATCTCACACGGCAGCACACTCAGCACCATCTCACACGGCAGCACACTCAGCACCATCTCACACGGCACCACACTCAGCACCATCTCACACGGCACCACACTCAGCACCATCTCACACGGCAGCACACTCAGCACCATCTCACACGGCAGCACACTCAGCACCACACTCACACGGCAGCACACTCAGCACCATCTCACACGGCAGCACACTCAGCACCATCTCACACGGCACCACACTCAGCACCATCTCACACGGCACCACACTCAGCACCATCTCACACGGCACCACACTCAGCACCATCTCACACGGCACCACACTCAGCACCATCTCACACGGCAGCACACTCAGCACCATCTCACACGGCACCACACTCAGCACCATCTCACACGGCAGCACACTCAGCACCACACTCACACGGCACCACACTCAGCACCATCTCACACGGCAGCACACTCACACGGCAGCACACTCACACGGCAGCACACTCAGCACCATCTCACACGGCACCACACTCAGCACCATCTCACACGGCACCACACTCAGCACCATCTCACACGGCACCACACTCAGCACCATCTCACACGGCAGCACACTCAGCACCATCTCACACGGCAGCACACTCAGCACCACACTCACACGGCAGCACACTCAGCACCATCTCACACGGCAGCACACTCAGCACCATCTCACACGGCACCACACTCAGCACCATCTCACACGGCACCACACTCAGCACCATCTCACACGGCACCACACTCAGCACCATCTCACACGGCAGCACACTCAGCACCACACTCACACGGCACCACACTCAGCACCATCTCACACGGCAGCACACTCACACGGCAGCACACTCACACGGCAGCACACTCAGCACCATCTCACACGGCACCACACTCAGCACCATCTCACACGGCACCACACTCAGCACCATCTCACACGGCACCACACTCAGCACCATCTCACACGGCAGCACACTCAGCACCATCTCACACGGCAGCACACTCAGCACCATCTCACACGGCACCACACTCAGCACCATCTCACACGGCACCACACTCAGCACCATCTCACACGGCAGCACACTCAGCACCATCTCACACGGCAGCACACTCAGCACCACACTCACACGGCAGCACACTCAGCACCATCTCACACGGCAGCACACTCAGCACCATCTCACACGGCACCACACTCAGCACCATCTCACACGGCACCACACTCAGCACCATCTCACACGGCACCACACTCAGCACCATCTCACACGGCACCACACTCAGCACCATCTCACACGGCAGCACACTCAGCACCATCTCACACGGCAGCACACTCAGCACCATCTCACACGGCACCACACTCAGCACCATCTCACACGGCAGCACACTCAGCACCATCTCACACGGCACCACACTCAGCACCATCTCACACGGCAGCACACTCAGCACCACACTCACACGGCACCACACTCAGCACCATCTCACACGGCAGCACACTCACACGGCAGCACACTCACACGGCAGCACACTCAGCACCATCTCACACGGCAGCACACTCAGCACCATCTCACACGGCAGCACACTCAGCACCATCTCACACGGCAGCACACTCAGCACCATCTCACACGGCAGCACACTCAGCACCACACTCACACGGCAGCACACTCAGCACCATCTCACACGGCAGCACACTCAGCACCATCTCACACGGCACCACACTCAGCACCATCTCACACGGCACCACACTCAGCACCATCTCACACGGCACCACACTCAGCACCATCTCACACGGCAGCACACTCAGCACCATCTCACACGGCAGCACACTCAGCACCATCTCACACGGCAGCACACTCAGCACCATCTCACACGGCAGCACACTCAGCACCATCTCACACGGCAGCACACTCAGCACCATCTCACACGGCAGCACACTCAGCACCATCTCACACGGCACCACACTCAGCACCATCTCACACGGCAGCACACTTAGCACCATCTCACACGGCAGCACACTCAGCACCATCTCACACGGCAGCACACTCAGCACCATCTCACACGGCACCACACTCAGCACCATCTCACACGGCACCACACTCAGCACCATCTCACACGGCAGCACACTCAGCACCATCTCACACGGCACCACACTCAGCACCACACTCACACGGCAGCACACTCAGCACCATCTCACACGGCAGCACACTCACACGGCAGCACACTCAGCACCATCTCACACGGCACCACACTCAGCACCATCTCACACGGCAGCACACTCAGCACCATCTCACACGGCAGCACACTCAGCACCACCTCACACGGCAGCACACTGTCGGAATTATGCTTATCCCAGCCCTACCTGTTCTTGCACTACTCCCTTCTTCTCTCTTCTGGGCTCTGCTGCACTGTCTCTCCATTTGATGCTCTCAGCTGGGCTTCAGTGCCCTTAGTTCTCGGCCATCCTTCCCTCCCTGTTCCCCTGCCTTCTCCACTTAAAAGGTCCCGTACCACAGCCTGTATCTAGCTACACAAACCCTAGCTCGGCAGGCTGGATAAAGGCCGGTTGGATCTGAAATGCTTGCGGCGTTGGTTTCTCGTGCTTAGTTCAAACGTGTAGAATGGAATTGTAAGCATAGGTGTGAAAACAATCACGCAAGCAATCCTTCCTAAGCTTGCCTAATCCTTAAGTATCACCAGAGGGTTACCGTTGTGCCAACGGTTCTCGTTTAGCCCGCCAACTCAGGCTTTTCGGTTGTCTCGCTTCGCTTGCAGCCGTTTCTATTCTCATCCTCCCTACTGTAGTGTTTCCTTATATCCTACTAGTCACGATGATATATCTACTGTTCTTCGCACAGATTAGAATCGTGACAGCTGTCGGAATTATGCTTATCCCAGCCCTACCTGTTCTTGCACTACTCCCTTCTTCTCTCTTCTGGGCTCTGCTGCACTGTCTCTCCATTTGATGCTCTCAGCTGGGCTTCAGTGCCCTTAGTTCTCGGCCATCCTTCCCTCCCTGTTCCCCTGCCTTCTCCACTTGCCCCCTCCGCGGTTGTTTCTTGGCTCCTGCCGACTGCCGCTGGACATCCTCGTCTTCAGCTCGGGGAACTGATTGCCCCATTGCCCGTCCTCTCGCCCGCGCCACATTAGTGCAATGATCCGTCCTCCTCTGCCCTTGCGCGCTCACAAGCACCACTACCCCAGAGTCTTTGATCTCCTTCACCTTCCAGCGCTCGGTGCTCAGCCCGAGGTCCATCAGATCGTGCTTCGCCTGCTTCAGGTATACTTCCTCCCCTGCTCCCAGCGCCTTGACCTTCTTTCCTTCTTGCCGTTCTCCTCTCTTCTTGTACCGCTGTGCATCCCTCAGTTGGGCCACGTGTAGATTCTCCAGTGCCGCTGGTAAGAGTTCTCTCAAGTACCTCGCCCTCGCTTCTGCCAGCCCCACCCATTCTTCCTCGTTGGCCACTTGCACAGACCCCGTAAGGATTCTCGGCGCATCTACTGGCATCACTGGGTCTCTCCCTAAGAGCAGGTAATACGGCGACAAATCTCGTAGAGCCGCTTGCTTACTGAATCTGTATCCTGCCACTACCCACGGGAGCCGTGTGTCCCAGTCCCTCTTAAACTGCTCTCCGTAGGCCCTCAGCCCCCGTTTCACTGTCTGTACAAATCGCTCAGTGAGACCGTCGCTCTGCGGATGATATCTGGAGGTCCTCCTGTGCGTGATACCTGTGGCTCGCAACAACTTGTCGAACTCTCCCATGAACTCTGTCCCTTGATCGGTTAGTACTTCCCCGCAAGCCCCGAACCTTGTGAGTACCTGCTCCTCGAACGCTTCGGCTATTTTAGCCGAGTTCTTGCTGGGGAGAGCCTTCACTTCAACCCATTTGCTTCCGTGCTCGATCATGATTAAGATGTAACGCTTCCCTCTCCTGCTCAGAGGCATCTCCCCCGCTAAGTCGAGAGACCATCGGAACCCTATGCCGTGTATAGGCAGCGACTGCAGCTCCTTTCTCCCCCTTTCCAGCTCCGCTTTGTTCCGACTGCACAGCTCACACTTGGTCACCCACTCCCTGATATCTCTCCGCATCCCATCCCACCACCACCCAGTCTCTACTAGCTGCGTGGTTCGTAGACTTCCATAGTGTCCCAACTGCCTGTGTACCGTGCTGATGATGTGTTCTCTCTCTTGTGGCCGTGGGACCATCTTCCATCCGTCCCGCGTGTTCTTCTGCAACTGCTCTTGGTGCCAGCGGTAGTGAACTCCTCTAGCCCTGGCCCTCTCGCTGGTGGTAGTCTCTTCGGCGGTCTTCCCTTGCACCCAGTCCAGCACTTCCTGGTCTTCCCAAACATCCGCAGGCCCCGTCCCTTTTCCTCGGTTGGCCCCTTCGGCATCTAATTCTCTCGCTAGTGCCACTAGGCAAGCTGTGGGGCGCGGCGATGGCGGGTTCCGTGACAGCCCATCTACGTGTTGCATAGTCTTGCCTGCCCGGTGTCGGATGGAGAAATCATATTCTTGTAACCGCATGGCCCAGCGCGCGTTCCTCCCTGTTAGCCCTTGGTTGGTCATCAGCCACGTTAGTGGTTGGTGATCTGTCACTAGCTCGAACTGCCTCCCTTGTAGGTATACTCGGAAGTGAGTGATGGCCCACACGGCAGCTAGCCCCTCGCCCTCGTACGAGCTGTAGTTAGCCTCGGCTGGGTTGCAGCTCCGGCTGGCGAAGGCGACTACCTTCTCTTCTCCTTCCCGCTTCTGACACAAGATCGCCCCCATACCCGCGCTGCTCCAGTCAGTGTACAGCACAAATGGATCCTCGGTACTTGGCAGAGTCAGCACCGTGGCTGTCTTCACGGCTTTCAGCAGCGCCTGTAATGCCCCTTGCTCCGCCTCTCCCCATTCCCACTTCTGGTCTTCCCTCAGCAGACGATTCAAGGCCGCGGCGGTCTTACTGAAGTTCGGAATGAACTTCCGGTAGTAATTGAGGAATCCGAGCACGGCCCTCAACGTGCTCCTATCCTTCGGCTGCGGCACCCTATCCAGGACCTCCACCTTCGCTTGCTGAATCCCCAGCTGCCCTCCCTGAACTTCAAAACCCAGGTACTTCACTCCGGTATTCCCGAAGCTGCATTTCTTCGGGTGACACGTGAGGCCTGCTGCTCGAATGGCGTCCAGCGTTGCTTGCACGTCCCTCACATGTTGTGCCGCGTCCGGACTGAAAACCACCACATCGTCAATGTAACATGCCGCCGCCGGCACTCCGCGCAGAGTCGTGTCCATGACCCGCTGGAACAAGGCGGGCGCATTTTTCATTCCGAAAGGCATGAATCGCCACTCGTACGGGCCGTCTGGTCCATGGAAGGCCGTCTTCTTGCGGTCGGTGTCTCGGATGGGGATCTGATTAAATCCCTGCCGTAGATCCAGTGTGGAGAAAACCTTTGCCCCTTGCAGCTTATCAAAGATTTCTTCGGCTGACTGCATGGGATACCTATCTGCCACCGTGACCTTGTTCAGACTCCGATAGTCCCCGCACATCCTCCGCGCGGAGACCGCCCCCGTCAGATCCTTCCGTGATGCTACTACCGTAGCCGCGGCGTAGTCACTCTCGGACCGCTGGATCAGTCCTGCTTCCAACAGCTCGCTGCATTTCTCCGTACAGATGTCTAGATCCCCCGGGCTCATCCTTCGTCTCCGTTGATATATAGGGACCTCTCTGGTGAGCTCGATCTTCATCTCATGCGTGGTACACTTTCCCAGCTCCTGCAACGTGTACGCAAAAGTCCCGCGATGCTGCTTCAGCACTTCCTGCAACGCTGCTCCTGACTCGGCATCCATTCCTCCTCCGAGTATCCACTCCTCTTTGGGCTCTCGTTCCCGCTTCTCTGGTGGGTCCGCCGCTGCCTCCCCATCTCCTTCAACCCCTCCTTCAGCTGCTTCCATGGCCATGTACGCCGCCCACCCCTCATCAATCTTCAAGTCATACCTCTCCTCGATCCGCGCCAGCGATCTCTTCTGCCATTCGACTGTCTCTAGGTCGCGGTATCGTTCTCCGCACGCGATGTCCCTCTGCAGCTCTTTCGCCTTTAGGTGCATCCGCAGCGTGTCTAGGAGCCAGGTCATGACATTCGCGTCCATGGCTCGTCCCAAGGCGGCTCGGCGTTGCTCCTCTGTCACCTCCGGATGTGCTGTGGCTCCCCACAGGTGCCCCATCGCTGCCTCCCGTTCATTCGCCGTCGGTTGTTCCCAAACTCCTTTCCGCACGTCGTAGATCATCCCCGGGCCCGGCAAGTCTCCCTCCATAATGAATCCGCGGGCTTCAGCGAAGGACACCAAGGTAGGCAACGCTTGCCGCGGTTTGCCTGGCTCGTTACACTGGTACTGTGACGGATGATCCGCACTCGTCACGGGCGCGGGCAGGCGGTTGGGCTCCAGAATGTCACTCACTAAGCGCGGTTCTGGCCGCTGCATCAGCGCTAGAGAGTGCCGCAGCGCTGCGGTAGACATCACATTCTGCCAGTAACGCCTCGGCCGATGCGCTCGCGACCCCAGCTGCGCCGCGTCGGCTGGTACTCCTCTTCCCACGACCCCCGCGATCTCCTCAAATGCTCTCTTCACCGGCTCTCGCTTATCTTCTGCCAGGTCTACATTCTCCAGAATGTAGGCGACTTCTCCTTGACGCCGCTGCATCATCTCTAACACTCGCTGCAAGTCCCTGAACGATGCTCCCCGCACGTCTTCCATCCCCATGCCCTCCCCGGCTCTGGAGTACCCCTGACATTCCCACCCTGCGATGACCAAGTCTATATGCCCCCAGCTCTCTAGTACGCGCTCGGAGATATCTCGGACGTCGTGCACCGCGGGTTCAGACTCGTATGGAAGCGCGTCCTCCCACATTTGATCTGGGTATTCGTCCCGCAGCAGCTCGGCATGGTGCCGCGCCATCTTCCGCACGACTGGATCTCGCTCGACGTGGATCCACTTCTTAATGGTACATCCAGCTCGTAACGCCGCGGCCAGGCCGGTCCCTATTCCCCCGTACAACTCCACAACGCGTGTAGGCACATCTAAGGCCTGCACCCGACTGACCCGCTCCGTCAAATCCAGCGGGCTCTGCCCCAAGGTCCGCCTCTCGATCCGCCGTTCGTATTCTGCTTCATATCTCTCCCACGTCCAATCTTCCAGCTCCTCCGTCAGATCTTTCCGTTGGGCCTGGTACGCTTCTCGTGGCTCCTGCCGCACAAACCGCACCGGCAGCGTGCCTACGAGGCTCTCTGGGTCCCAGTATTGCGCGCGGAAGAGCACCTTCTCCTGCCAAGTACAGATGGTAGCTCCTACTCGATAAAGGAGCTCCATCCCCACGAGGACGTCGTAGTCCTCGGACTCCGAGACGCCGCACTGCAGCCGGATGCAGCACTCCTTCTCCGTCCCTGGTAAAAGCACTACTTCCACCGGTCGCCTGGTTTTCGGCATCCATTTCGGCTCTCCTCCTTCAGCCGTCATGAGTAGGATTCCCCGCTCCATAGTACGCCCGGATACGTCCAGCTTCAGTTGTTTAGCGAGTCCCTTGCCTATGAGCACGTGGTGAGCCCCAGTGTCTATGATGGCTTGCTTCACTGGCAGGCCTCCCACGGTGAGACTCCCCTTTTCGGCAATAAGCACGGACGCTTGACATACCAGCCGCTCGTTCGGATGCCGCCTCATTTCTGAGGGTCGTGCTCCTTCCACTTGACTGCCCCGGGATCGGGTTCCACTCGTCACTTCGCTGCTCTGAGACGGGCCGGCCCGTGGTCTGAGACGGATATCGTCTCGTGCCCGAGGATACGCCATAACCGCATACTCTCTCGTATATTCCTCCTCGTCCTCTTCCTCGTCGTCGTCCACTTCTTCGTACGCCAACATCGCTCGCGCCTTAACCTCCTTCTGATTAGGTAACTGCTCCAACCGCAGCTGCAGCCGCCTGACCTCCGCTTGGAGCTCCTCTCGCGTTGCCCCCAGCGCGTCCTTCGGTCGGCTGTAACAGTCCTCTCTCCGGTGTCCGTGTTTCCCACATTGCTTGCATGTCGGCGCCTTGGGGCAATCACACCTCAAGTGCCCGTGCTCTCCGCAGGTGTGACACAGCCGAGGGTCTACTCTGCTGCTGCCCCCAGATGCAGAGTCGGGTACTGCCGCCGCTGCCCAACTCGTTTTCGCTCGGCTCCTTCCTTCCGGGTCTTCAAGATCCAGCAGTCGTTGCGCTTGTTCCGTCTTCTTCGTCAGCATGTAGACTTCCTTCAACGTGATATCGGCGCCGATGCTGTATACAGTGCCCCGCACCACTCCCCGCAGCTCTTCGTCCGGCCCTCGTACGAACTTCCTCACCAACAGGCGTTCGTCCGTACTTTCGAGGTCTTCCGCTAGTTCACGGAGTCTGCAGTAGTAAGCCAGCAGCGATTCTTCCTTCTTACGGCTGAAGTCCCGGAACTCTTCCACGCGTGCCTTGGTTTGCCCCGCGAACTCCTTCCGCAGCAGCTGCAAAAAGCGGGCTGTCGGATTGACTATCTCTCCTTCCGCTAGCTCTTCTAAAACGTCGTCTCGGGTCAGGCGGTAGAACGTCTCAGCCTCGCCTGCCAACGTCCCCACCATCTTCCGGAAGAACTCGGCCGGGTCATATCCATCGCGCTCCCAACAGTATTGTACGGTCTCGAGCTGCATCAGGTAATTCTTCAGGCTGGGCCCCACGCCCGGGATGCCCGTATATCGCTCCGCCACCTCCACCTTGGGCAAGTTGGTCGCCTTCCATCGGGCTCCCCCGGTGCTGAGTCCTCCCGGCGCATCACCCGGAGCACCCGCCGCGCCACTAGGTACTAGAGCTCTCACTTGCGTCGGTCCCGGTACTGGACTCTCCGTCGGCCTCCAGCGGGTATCAGACCGATCCTTCCTCGGAAGCATCCTTGGCATTCCGGTCGGCGGGGTCGCTGCTTCTTGGCTCTTCCAGCGTTCCCGGACTTTCTCGGTCCAGCGAGCGTCAAGCGGAGTCTCTCCAGGATCTGAGACGACGGTCCGCTCTCCTTCCATGTTATCTCCCACCACGCGGGCGCGTTGGTGGGGAGTTCTGTACTTCGGCGAATCAGTTTCGCCGCATGCCGCTCTCGTGTCTCTCTGCGCGGCTATCTCGTCTGCCGTAGGCTTCAACTCCTCTGCGTCGGTCCACAGTCGCATCCTTAAGAACTCTCGACGCTGCATCAAAAGCTCTTGCGTGATTGTTAAAAGGTCCCGTACCACAGCCTGTATCTAGCTACACAAACCCTAGCTCGGCAGGCTGGATAAAGGCCGGTTGGATCTGAAATGCTTGCGGCGTTGGTTTCTCGTGCTTAGTTCAAACGTGTAGAATGGAATTGTAAGCATAGGTGTGAAAACAATCACGCAAGCAATCCTTCCTAAGCTTGCCTAATCCTTAAGTATCACCAGAGGGTTACCGTTGTGCCAACGGTTCTCGTTTAGCCCGCCAACTCAGGCTTTTCGGTTGTCTCGCTTCGCTTGCAGCCGTTTCTATTCTCATCCTCCCTACTGTAGTGTTTCCTTATATCCTACTAGTCACGATGATATATCTACTGTTCTTCGCACAGATTAGAATCGTGACAACACTCAGCACCATCTCACACGGCAGCACACTCAGCACCATCTCACACGGCTTCGCCTTTCACGCCTCACCAGCTTCATCAGCCTTTCACGCCTCATCAGCTTCGCCCTGCAGCGCCACCTGGGGGTGGACGAGGGCAGCCCTCTCGCTTGCATCTCCTCACACTCCCTCTCCGATACATCACACCACACTTCTCCCTCTGTTCCTCCCGCGTTGCAGCATGGGATGCCAGTGCAACAGAGCGCCACCTCATCCCCCGTTCGCCCTGCAGCGCCACCTGGGGTTGAAAAAATACAGCCCTCTCGCTTGCATCTCCTTACCCTCCCTCTCCACCACACCATGGCACCCTTCTCCCTTCTGCCTTCCCTGTTCTCCCGCTGCAGCATGGGAAGCCCCCTCCACGGAGCGCCACCTCATCCCGTCACGCCTCATCTCGTTTGCCCTGCAGCGCCACCTGGGGATGGACGAGGGCGCTGTGAGGGTGGCTGCAGGGCAGCTGGACTTTGCACTGCAGGTGGCAGGCAAGGGTGCGTGGGGGGAGGGGTGGGGCTGTCGTGTTGTGAAATGTGATCGGATGGAAAGGATAGGGCAGGGGTGTGCGTGTGTGCATGTGACTTTTGAGTCGACTCAAAAGTGACACGTGGGGGTGACAAGGCCGCTGCGAGGGCGGCTGCAGGCCAGCTGGACTTGGCACTGCAGGTGGCGGGCAGGCAAGGGTGCGTGGTGGGGAGGGTTGCGTGCGTGTGGGTGTGCTGTGGTTTGATCTGGTGGGATGGGATGGGATGGGATGGGATGGGATGGGATGGGATGGGATGGGATGGGATGGGATGGGATGGGATGGGATGCGCTGAATGGGATGGGATGTGGTTACCTCCATAGTGCAATTTACATCCATGAGTGTCTAACATGACAATGCTTTGATTTGACGTGCATTATCTCCTCTCCCTCTTCTCCCTCTGCCGTCCCGACCACTCTCTCAGCACCATGCATGCATCCCTTCGACCACTCTCTCAGCACCATGCATGCATCCCTTCGACCACTCTCTCAGCACCATGCATGCATCCCTTCGACCACTCTCTCAGCACCATGCATGCATCCCTTCGACCACTCTCTCAGCACCATGCATGCATCCCTTCGACCACTCTCTCAGCACCATGCATGCATCCCTTCGACCACTCTCTCAGCACCATGCATGCATCCCTTCGACCACTCTCTCAGCACCATGCATGCATCCCTTCGACCACTCTCTCAGCACCATGCATGCATCCCTTCGACCACTCTCTCAGCACCATGCATGCATCCCTTCGACCACTCTCTCAGCACCATGCATGCATCCCTTCGACCACTCTCTCAGCACCATGCATGCATCCCTTCGACCACTCTCTCAGCACCATGCATGCATCCCTTCGACCACTCTCTCAGCACCATGCATGCATCCCTTCGACCACTCTCTCAGCACCATGCATGCATCCCTTCGACCACTCTCTCAGCACCATGCATGCATCCCTTCGACCACTCTCTCAGCACCATGCATGCATCCCTTCGACCACTCTCTCAGCACCATGCATGCATCCCTTCGACCACTCTCTCAGCACCATGCATGCATCCCTTCGACCACTCTCTCAGCACCATGCATGCATCCCTTCGACCACTCTCTCAGCACCATGCATGCATCCCTTCGACCACTCTCTCAGCACCATGCATGCATCCCTTCGACCACTCTCTCAGCACCATGCATGCATCCCTTCGACCACTCTCTCAGCACCATGCATGCATCCCTTCGACCACTCTCTCAGCACCATGCATGCATCCCTTCGACCACTCTCTCAGCACCATGCATGCATCCCTTCGACCACTCTCTCAGCACCATGCATGCATCCCTTCGACCACTCTCTCAGCACCATGCATGCATCCCTTCGACCACTCTCTCAGCACCATGCATGCATCCCTTCGACCACTCTCTCAGCACCATGCATGCATCCCTTCGACCACTCTCTCAGCACCATGCATGCATCCCTTCGACCACTCTCTCAGCACCATGCATGCATCCCTTCGACCACTCTCTCAGCACCATGCATGCATCCCTTCGACCACTCTCTCAGCACCATGCATGCATCCCTTCGACCACTCTCTCAGCACCATGCATGCATCCCTTCGACCACTCTCTCAGCACCATGCATGCATCCCTTCGACCACTCTCTCAGCACCATGCATGCATCCCTTCGACCACTCTCTCAGCACCATGCATGCATCCCTTCGACCACTCTCTCAGCACCATGCATGCATCCCTTCGACCACTCTCTCAGCACCATGCATGCATCCCTTCGACCACTCTCTCAGCACCATGCATGCATCCCTTCGACCACTCTCTCAGCACCATGCATGCATCCCTTCGACCACTCTCTCAGCACCATGCATGCATCCCTTCGACCACTCTCTCAGCACCATGCATGCATCCCTTCGACCACTCTCTCAGCACCATGCATGCATCCCTTCGACCACTCTCTCAGCACCATGCATGCATCCCTTCGACCACTCTCTCAGCACCATGCATGCATCCCTTCGACCACTCTCTCAGCACCATGCATGCATCCCTTCGACCACTCTCTCAGCACCATGCATGCATCCCTTCGACCACTCTCTCAGCACCATGCATGCATCCCTTCGACCACTCTCTCAGCACCATGCATGCATCCCTTCGACCACTCTCTCAGCACCATGCATGCATCCCTTCGACCACTCTCTCAGCACCATGCATGCATCCCTTCGACCACTCTCTCAGCACCATGCATGCATCCCTTCGACCACTCTCTCAGCACCATGCATGCATCCCTTCGACCACTCTCTCAGCACCATGCATGCATCCCTTCGACCACTCTCTCAGCACCATGCATGCATCCCTTCGACCACTCTCTCAGCACCATGCATGCATCCCTTCGACCACTCTCTCAGCACCATGCATGCATCCCTTCGACCACTCTCTCAGCACCATGCATGCATCCCTTCGACCACTCTCTCAGCACCATGCATGCATCCCTTCGACCACTCTCTCAGCACCATGCATGCATCCCTTCGACCACTCTCTCAGCACCATGCATGCATCCCTTCGACCACTCTCTCAGCACCATGCATGCATCCCTTCGACCACTCTCTCAGCACCATGCATGCATCCCTTCGACCACTCTCTCAGCACCATGCATGCATCCCTTCGACCACTCTCTCAGCACCATGCATGCATCCCTTCGACCACTCTCTCAGCACCATGCATGCATCCCTTCGACCACTCTCTCAGCACCATGCATGCATCCCTTCGACCACTCTCTCAGCACCATGCATGCATCCCTTCGACCACTCTCTCAGCACCATGCATGCATCCCTTCGACCACTCTCTCAGCACCATGCATGCATCCCTTCGACCACTCTCTCAGCACCATGCATGCATCCCTTCGACCACTCTCTCAGCACCATGCATGCATCCCTTCGACCACTCTCTCAGCACCATGCATGCATCCCTTCGACCACTCTCTCAGCACCATGCATGCATCCCTTCGACCACTCTCTCAGCACCATGCATGCATCCCTTCGACCACTCTCTCAGCACCATGCATGCATCCCTTCGACCACTCTCTCAGCACCATGCATGCATCCCTTCGACCACTCTCTCAGCACCATGCATGCATCCCTTCGACCACTCTCTCAGCACCATGCATGCATCCCTTCGACCACTCTCTCAGCACCATGCATGCATCCCTTCGACCACTCTCTCAGCACCATGCATGCATCCCTTCGACCACTCTCTCAGCACCATGCATGCATCCCTTCGACCACTCTCTCAGCACCATGCATGCATCCCTTCGACCACTCTCTCAGCACCATGCATGCATCCCTTCGACCACTCTCTCAGCACCATGCATGCATCCCTTCGACCACTCTCTCAGCACCATGCATGCATCCCTTCGACCACTCTCTCAGCACCATGCATGCATCCCTTCGACCACTCTCTCAGCACCATGCATGCATCCCTTCGACCACTCTCTCAGCACCATGCATGCATCCCTTCGACCACTCTCTCAGCACCATGCATGCATCCCTTCGACCACTCTCTCAGCACCATGCATGCATCCCTTCGACCACTCTCTCAGCACCATGCATGCATCCCTTCGACCACTCTCTCAGCACCATGCATGCATCCCTTCGACCACTCTCTCAGCACCATGCATGCATCCCTTCGACCACTCTCTCAGCACCATGCATGCATCCCTTCGACCACTCTCTCAGCACCATGCATGCATCCCTTCGACCACTCTCTCAGCACCATGCATGCATCCCTTCGACCACTCTCTCAGCACCATGCATGCATCCCTTCGACCACTCTCTCAGCACCATGCATGCATCCCTTCGACCACTCTCTCAGCACCATGCATGCATCCCTTCGACCACTCTCTCAGCACCATGCATGCATCCCTTCGACCACTCTCTCAGCACCATGCATGCATCCCTTCGACCACTCTCTCAGCACCATGCATGCATCCCTTCGACCACTCTCTCAGCACCATGCATGCATCCCTTCGACCACTCTCTCAGCACCATGCATGCATCCCTTCGACCACTCTCTCAGCACCATGCATGCATCCCTTCGACCACTCTCTCAGCACCATGCATGCATCCCTTCGACCACTCTCTCAGCACCATGCATGCATCCCTTCGACCACTCTCTCAGCACCATGCATGCATCCCTTCGACCACTCTCTCAGCACCATGCATGCATCCCTTCGACCACTCTCTCAGCACCATGCATGCATCCCTTCGACCACTCTCTCAGCACCATGCATGCATCCCTTCGACCACTCTCTCAGCACCATGCATGCATCCCTTCGACCACTCTCTCAGCACCATGCATGCATCCCTTCGACCACTCTCTCAGCACCATGCATGCATCCCTTCGACCACTCTCTCAGCACCATGCATGCATCCCTTCGACCACTCTCTCAGCACCATGCATGCATCCCTTCGACCACTCTCTCAGCACCATGCATGCATCCCTTCGACCACTCTCTCAGCACCATGCATGCATCCCTTCGACCACTCTCTCAGCACCATGCATGCATCCCTTCGACCACTCTCTCAGCACCATGCATGCATCCCTTCGACCACTCTCTCAGCACCATGCATGCATCCCTTCGACCACTCTCTCAGCACCATGCATGCATCCCTTCGACCACTCTCTCAGCACCATGCATGCATCCCTTCGACCACTCTCTCAGCACCATGCATGCATCCCTTCGACCACTCTCTCAGCACCATGCATGCATCCCTTCGACCACTCTCTCAGCACCATGCATGCATCCCTTCGACCACTCTCTCAGCACCATGCATGCATCCCTTCGACCACTCTCTCAGCACCATGCATGCATCCCTTCGACCACTCTCTCAGCACCATGCATGCATCCCTTCGACCACTCTCTCAGCACCATGCATGCATCCCTTCGACCACTCTCTCAGCACCATGCATGCATCCCTTCGACCACTCTCTCAGCACCATGCATGCATCCCTTCGACCACTCTCTCAGCACCATGCATGCATCCCTTCGACCACTCTCTCAGCACCATGCATGCATCCCTTCGACCACTCTCTCAGCACCATGCATGCATCCCTTCGACCACTCTCTCAGCACCATGCATGCATCCCTTCGACCACTCTCTCAGCACCATGCATGCATCCCTTCGACCACTCTCTCAGCACCATGCATGCATCCCTTCGACCACTCTCTCAGCACCATGCATGCATCCCTTCGACCACTCTCTCAGCACCATGCATGCATCCCTTCGACCACTCTCTCAGCACCATGCATGCATCCCTTCGACCACTCTCTCAGCACCATGCATGCATCCCTTCGACCACTCTCTCAGCACCATGCATGCATCCCTTCGACCACCACCACGCCTCTCATGCACTCATCTGGCCCGCCTCTCAGCGCCGCAGCTAGAGTCTCTTGCCAAGTTTGCAACCCTAATCCTTCTTTCAAAACCCGAAATCTTTTACCCTAAATTTTGTATACACCTTGCCCTTGTTGCGCCTCCCCTCCTCCCCCCCCGCCCTCACCACCCCTGTAACTGCCATTTCTCCCACAGACCCAGCATCATCTGCCCCGGCACTGAACACAGCCTTTGAGCGCCTGGCCTCGCTGCTGCGCCAGCTGCCCTCCCTGCCGCTCTCCGTCGCCGCCCTGCACTCCCTCTCCCCCAGTGCGTGCACTCCCTCTCCCCCGGTGCATGCTGCCCTCTCTCCACCCCATCCATCCCCCCGTGCCTCTCCTCTCCGCCTTGCACGCATCACAAGGAGCACAACTGCCCTTGTCTGTGCTGCGTGTTCTATAGAATATGCCCTTGCCCATACCCATCACCACTATGACCCACCCACGTTGTGGGCCAAGCCGTTGCTCAGCCTCTTGCCCGTCAATGTCTGATTGCTGTCCTCCCCCTCATTCTCCTCCCCACCTCCTCCCTCCTGCCCTTCCCCTTCTCCCCCCCCACTGCAGCAACAAGGGGAGCAGCGGCCTTCCCCCCATCACCCTGCCCGCCTCCCTCTGCAGGGGGCGCAGCAGAGGAAGAGGGTGTGTGGCGGCGCTGTGTGGATCCGGTTCCCGTGGCCGTTCAGGTGAGGGGGGTTTCGGGGTGAAGGGCAGAGGGTCGAGCGTCGAAACTACATGATAGGCACTGGATGATCCACTGGGATAGGCAGTGCGGGCAGGGGAGGGCGTGTGGCGGCGCTGTGTGGACCCTGTGCCCGTGGCCGTGCAGGTGAGGGGGGGGTTGGGGTGGGAGGGAGTGGGCAGGCGAGAGTTGAGACTATCGACAGACAGACACAGGAATCTGGTGATGGGGGCAGGGGAGGGTGTGTGGCGTTGTTGTGTAGACTCCATGAATTTGTCTGCTCCTACCAGTGCTTCCATTCATCCCTTCTGCACATATATCTTCCTTTTCCACTCACTTCGCTCCCTTTTCCATTCGGCTGGAGGCTGGCCAGCCAGTAGCACTACCATCCCTTGACCAGACGAAGCCCACTCATGCCCCTCTACCTACCACGCCCACTCCCTCCGCCCTCTCCCTCTACCCTCTCCCCTCTCCCTCTACCCTCTCCCCTCTCCCTCTACCCTCTCCCCTCCCTCCCATGCAGCTCGAGGCGTCCAGCAAGTGGCCCGACGATCCCGAGGCGCTGCGCCTCACGCGCCACGCGTTCTGCCTGCAGATCGCCAGCAGGTGAGGGCGGGTGGGAGCAGTTGGAGTTGGAGTGGCATGGGTTGAGCCGCTAGCAGACGAGCCCCATGTCGAGAGGTGCTCCATGGCCGATGCCCGATGGCTCATGGCCCATGCCCGATGGCTCATGGCCGATGTTCTCATCACCCATGCGCGCACTTGCCTTCCCCACCTTTTGCTCCTTGCCTCCCTTCTTGCCCCTCCTCACCTTTTTGCTCCTACACGGAGTGGACGTGGAGGTAGCATGGAGCGCCGTGGATGTTTCGGTTGATGGCTTTGCCTTCCGCCCTTTCCCACCCCATCCTCCACCCACTCCCATTCTCTCCTCTAACCGCGTGCCAGCCTGCAGGAGGCACATGGGGTGGCAGTGGAGGCGGCACGGGGCGCCGTGGATGTGATGCTCGATGGCTTTGCCCTCCGCCTCGTGCTGCTGCATGACTATGGTGGGCTGGGATGACATGACATGATGCATGACTATGGTGGGCTGGGATGACATGATATGATGCATGACTATGGTGGGCTGGGATGACATGACATGATGCATGACTATGGTGGGCTGGGATGACATGATATGATGCATGACTATGGTGGGCTGGGATGACATGACATGATGCATGACTATGGTGGGCTGGGATGACATGACATGATGCATGACTATGGTGGGCTGGGATGACATGATATGATGCATGACTATGGTGGGCTGGGATGACATGATATGATGCATGACTATGGTGGGCTGGGATGACATGACATGATGCATGACTATGGTGGGCTGGGATGACATGATATGATGCATGACTATGGTGGGCTGGGATGACATGACATGATGCATGACTATGGTGGGCTGGGATGACATGACATGATGCATGACTATGGTGGGCTGGGATGACATGACATGATGCATGACTATGGTGGGCTGGGATGACATGACATGATGCATGACTATGGTGGGCTGGGATGACATGACATGATGCATGACTATGGTGGGCTGGGATGACATGACATGATGCATGACTATGGTGGGCTGGGATGACATGATATGATGCATGACTATGGTGGGCTGGGATGACATGATATGATGCATGACTATGGTGGGCTGGGATGACATGACATGATGCATGACTATGGTGGGCTGGGATGACATGATATGATGCATGACTATGGTGGGCTGGGATGACATGATATGATGCATGACTATGGTGGGCTGGGATGACATGACATGACGCATGACTATGGTGGGCTGGGATGACATGATATGATGCATGACTATGGTGGGCTGGGATGACATGACATGATGCATGACTATGGTGGGCTGGGATGACATGATATGATGCATGACTATGGTGGGCTGGGATGACATGATATGATGCATGACTATGGTGGGCTGGGATGACATGATATGATGCATGACTATGGTGGGCTGGGATGACATGATATGATGCATGACTATGGTGGGCTGGGATGACATGACATGATGCATGACTATGGTGGGCTGGGATGACATGACATGATGCATGACTATGGTGGGCTGGGATGACATGATATGATGCATGACTATGGTGGGCTGGGATGACATGATATGATGCATGACTATGGTGGGCTGGGATGACATGATATGATGCATGACTATGGTGGGCTGGGATGACTTGATATGATGCATGACTATGGTGGGCTGGGATGACATGATATGATGCATGACTATGGTGGGCTGGGATGACATGATATGATGCATGACTATGGTGGGCTGGGATGACATGACATGATGCATGACTATGGTGGGCTGGGATGACATGATATGATGCATGACTATGGTGGGCTGGGATGACATGACATGATGCATGACTATGGTGGGCTGGGATGACATGATATGATGCATGACTATGGTGGGCTGGGATGACATGATATGATGCATGACTATGGTGGGCTGGGATGACATGATATGATGCATGACTATGGTGGGCTGGGATGACATGATATGATGCATGACTATGGTGGGCTGGGATGACATGACATGATGCATGACTATGGTGGGCTGGGATGACATGACATGATGCATGACTATGGTGGGCTGGGATGACATGATATGATGCATGACTATGGTGGGCTGGGATGACATGACATGATGCATGACTATGGTGGGCTGGGATGACATGATATGATGCATGACTATGGTGGGCTGGGATGACATGATATGATGCATGACTATGGTGGGCTGGGATGACATGACATGATGCATGACTATGGTGGGCTGGGATGACATGATATGATGCATGACTATGGTGGGCTGGGATGACATGACATGATGCATGACTATGGTGGGCTGGGATGACATGATATGATGCATGACTATGGTGGGCTGGGATGACATGATATGATGCATGACTATGGTGGGCTGGGATGACATGATATGATGCATGACTATGGTGGGCTGGGATGACATGATATGATGCATGACTATGGTGGGCTGGGATGACATGACATGATGCATGACTATGGTGGGCTGGGATGACATGACATGATGCATGACTATGGTGGGCTGGGATGACATGATATGATGCATGACTATGGTGGGCTGGGATGACATGACATGATGCATGACTATGGTGGGCTGGGATGACATGACATGATGCATGACTATGGTGGGCTGGGATGACATGATATGATGCATGACTATGTTGGGCTGGGATGACATGATATGATGCATGACTATGGTGGGCTGGGATGACATGATATGATGCATGACTATGGTGGGCTGGGATGACATGACATGATGCATGACTATGGTGGGCTGGGATGACAAGATATGATGCATGACTATGGTGGGCTGGGATGACATGATATGATGCATGACTATGGTGGGCTGGGATGACATGACATGATGCATGACTATGGTGGGCTGGGATGACATGATATGATGCATGACTATGGTGGGCTGGGATGACATGATATGATGCATGACTATGGTGGGCTGGGATGACATGATATGATGCATGACTATGGTGGGCTGGGATGACATGATATGATGCATGACTATGGTGGGCTGGGATGACATGACATGATGCATGACTATGGTGGGCTGGGATGACATGATATGATGCATGACTATGGTGGGCTGGGATGACATGACATGATGCATGACTATGGTGGGCTGGGATGACATGACATGATGCATGACTATGGTGGGCTGGGATGACATGATATGATGCATGACTATGGTGGGCTGGGATGACATGACATGATGCATGACTATGGTGGGCTGGGATGACATGATATGATGCATGACTATGGTGGGCTGGGATGACATGATATGATGCATGACTATGGTGGGCTGGGATGACATGACATGATGCATGACTATGGTGGGCTGGGATGACATGACATGATGCATGACTATGGTGGGCTGGGATGACATGATATGATGCATGACTATGGTGGGCTGGGATGACATGACATGATGCATGACTATGGTGGGCTGGGATGACATGACATGATGCATGACTATGGTGGGCTGGGATGACATGATATGATGCATGACTATGGTGGGCTGGGATGACATGACATGATGCATGACTATGGTGGGCTGGGATGACATGATATGATGCATGACTATGGTGGGCTGGGATGACATGACATGATGCATGACTATGGTGGGCTGGGATGACATGATATGATGCATGACTATGGTGGGCTGGGATGACATGACATGATGCATGACTATGGTGGGCTGGGATGACATGATATGATGCATGACTACGGTGGGCTGGGATGACATGATATGATGCATGACTATGGTGGGCTGGGATGACATGATATGATGCATGACTATGGTGGGCTGGGATGACATGATATGATGCATGACTATGGTGGGCTGGGATGACATGACATGATGCATGACTATGGTGGGCTGGGATGACATGACATGATGCATGACTATGGTGGGCTGGGATGACATGATATGATGCATGACTATGGTGGGCTGGGATGACATGACATGATGCATGACTATGGTGGGCTGGGATGACATGATATGATGCATGACTATGGTGGGCTGGGATGACATGATATGATGCATGACTATGGTGGGCTGGGATGACATGATATGATGCATGACTATGGTGGGCTGGGATGACATGATATGATGCATGACTATGGTGGGCTGGGATGACATGATATGATGCATGACTATGGTGGGCTGGGATGACATGACATGATGCATGACTATGGTGGGCTGGGATGACATGACATGATGCATGACTATGGTGGGCTGGGATGACATGATATGATGCATGACTATGGTGGGCTGGGATGACATGACATGATGCATGACTATGGTGGGCTGGGATGACATGATATGATGCATGACTATGGTGGGCTGGGATGACATGACATGATGCATGACTATGGTGGGCTGGGATGACATGATATGATGCATGACTATGGTGGGCTGGGATGACATGACATGATGCATGACTATGGTGGGCTGGGATGACATGATATGATGCATGACTATGGTGGGCTGGGATGACATGATATGATGCATGACTATGGTGGGCTGGGATGACATGATATGATGCATGACTATGGTGGGCTGGGATGACATGACATGATGCATGACTATGGTGGGCTGGGATGACATGACATGATGCATGACTATGGTGGGCTGGGATGACATGATATGATGCATGACTATGGTGGGCTGGGATGACATGACATGATGCATGACTATGGTGGGCTGGGATGACATGATATGATGCATGACTATGGTGGGCTGGGATGACATGATATGATGCATGACTATGGTGGGCTGGGATGACATGACATGATGCATGACTATGGTGGGCTGGGATGACATGATATGATGCATGACTATGGTGGGCTGGGATGACATGATATGATGCATGACTATGGTGGGCTGGGATGACATGATATGATGCATGACTATGGTGGGCTGGGATGACATGATATGATGCATGACTATGGTGGGCTGGGATGACATGACATGATGCATGACTATGGTGGGCTGGGATGACATGATATGATGCATGACTATGGTGGGCTGGGATGACATGATATGATGCATGACTATGGTGGGCTGGGATGACATGATATGATGCATGACTATGGTGGGCTGGGATGACATGACATGATGCATGACTATGGTGGGCTGGGATGACATGATATGATGCATGACTATGGTGGGCTGGGATGACATGATATGATGCATGACTATGGTGGGCTGGGATGACATGATATGATGCATGACTATGGTGGGCTGGGATGACATGATATGATGCATGACTATGGTGGGCTGGGATGACATGACATGATGCATGACTATGGTGGGCTGGGATGACATGACATGATGCATGACTATGGTGGGCTGGGATGACATGATATGATGCATGACTATGGTGGGCTGGGATGACATGACATGATGCATGAC